CCTCGGGGCAGTCACCCCCAAACTGGAGCAGTGGCTAAAACAGATCCCAGGAACAACATCAGACATCTCAGTCCAGCTTTGTATGTATGGATCACTTGGGTTGTTACCAACATCTGGTGAAAATTTCATGTCATTAGCACCTCTAGTAATATATTTACTGAGAAAAATGGTGACGTATTCAATACTTATTTTACCCGCTGTATAGTAGGCTGATAGCTGAGAAAAAGACTGTAAAAATGAAAGTTTTGCTTCATCTTTAGGCTGGATTCGACATCTCAATGCATGGTTTAGAAATAAATATCTAGCTTTAGGAAAAATAATACTTAGTTTAAAAACAAAAAGAAATTAAACGTAATGCTTTTGCATTCAGGTCACCTTTTACCCTGATAATCAAAATACAGAGGAACTACAGTAATTGCCTTCAGAAATCACCTAAAAAGTCCAACTGTGTGTAATTTATTTTTTGTGTAAATCCAGCTGTTCTCCAAAAGAATGTCAGAAAACATCCACAATCAAACAGCATCATGAAGAGCAAGGAACACAACAAAACAGTTCAGGGATAAAGTTGTTGAAGTGGAAAAGTGGAAGTTAGATACTGCATAGTGGTAGCATGTATATGACCCCCGCACATACACACAGCACACTCACCAGAACTCACACAGAGCAGCTGTTTAAGATGTTCTGGTATTTATATGAGTGACTTGATGAGAGACAATGAAACAAGCCACATTCACATGCATGATGTCACATACCATATTAATCTCTCCAGGAAATTGTACCGTAGATGCTTTACAAATGTAGAAATGTTAGAAGCCATTTTGGGTGGAGGTAATGAATATGAGGCTATTGGAGTCTTAGTCAGTGTAGGTCAGATAGGACAACATCTGTGCCAAATTTCATCAAGATCTGATCATGTTTGAAATGAAATGACAGCCCTTCATCAGAGATAAACAACAACAACAAAAAAAAATCTGAAGTTCCTATGTTGAATATTTTTGGAGCAATAAGTATTTTTGTATGTGCAGACACCAGATTTTAAAATAGAAACCCCCTCTTGAAATAGGGGGTCTATCACAAAACCGTTTGCTAGTGCGGTGTAGGTGGGCCACACCTGTATTCCTACTAAATTTCATACTGCTAGGTGCAGCCGGTTGACCAAAAATCTCTGGAAAAAAAAAAAAAAAAAACGGTATGAAAACAATATGACCCCCGCTACGCATTATATTATATTATATTATAATTAAATTTCAATGCATATTTTATGTTTGTACTTCATCTTTAAAAACTACTTTGAGATGTGTGAATGTTTGTTCTTGTGTTTACCCTCTCCAACTGCTTGGTGTTGCTAAGGTTGGTGTTCCGGTTCAGGTTCTGATCTGCTTCTTCCTTGTCTCGACATTTTTGCTCGTACGTCTTCTTGGACTGACGACAAAACAAACAAAAAAACAAAACAAAACAAAACACCAAAGTTAGAAATAGTCCATTCTGAACTGTTGTCATCACACAAAAAAGGAAACAAAACAAGAAGGGATTTAATGCATTAAAGGAAATCAATTCACTGTCATTAGTTCTCCTTTCCCCCCCCCACTTTGTAACTTTTTGCGTGATGTCAGACTGGTTAAAACCCGTTCCTTCACCAAAGAGGAAGAACAGAGAGGGAATGACACTGACCATTTTCACATGCAACTGAAACTCCATAAGAAGGACTAAAAATAAGGACCAAACAGCAACACTTCCAACAGTGCAAAGCATAAACTCAGGTAAGGGAGTTCTGGCAAATCAGTCCTTCAAACTGTGTCTGATGTAGTTTTTGTTCTTTTTATCCTCAAAATACAAAAGGAAAACTTTTACATTGAATCCTTTCATCTTAAACAACAACTAATCTTCAGTATTTCCACTTCTACTTACGTCCATCGTCTTCTTGTACTGTGAGTACTTCTGTTTGTGGAGCACATCCATCTGTTGTTCTATCTATTTAAAAGTGACACAATTAACTATCAAATAAACATGTATTCATAATACGAACGTGTCACAGTGTAAAAAAAAGTACTAACCTTTTTCCTCACTTCTTTCTGCTTTTCTTTAAACTCTTCCAGCTTCTTGGCCTCCTCCCTCATGCTGTGTGCCAGCTGCAAGTGTGTCAGACTGACTTGTTCAGTCTCTACACAAAAAAAGGCATTTGAATAATATGCTAGAACACATGAATCAAAATGTTAATAAAAATATATATACTTACGTAATTTAAACATATCCAGAGATCTCTTTAATGTGCTAAAACAAAAATTAAAATATGTATATTTATTTTATTTTTACATAAAATGTGCATAAATGTAATATTTTATATGGCTGCTGGAATTTTGAAGCTGTTTAAAACACTTGTGAGACAAATATTTTCTGAAAAATAGTTTTTTGTTTGTTTGTTTGTTTGTTTTTTTTTCAATAAGTTTGCAAAGTGGACCAAAATTCAGGAATCCCTACAGGGGCATTGCATTTCCATAACTAGTTCCCATCAGATGCGACTAAGTCAGATTTTCGTAATCACCTTTAGGGTGGAATCTCACTGTGCTGCAACTGTTGAAGAAAAGTTGGTCTCAAAATTGTGAGAAACTTGGTAAATTTTCAGTGTGGCCGCACTTAACATCCACCTTTTGAAAACCCCGACCTATATGTATGTATGTATTTATTTATTTATTTATTTATTTATTTATTTATTTATTTATTTATTTATTTATTTATTGTCAATGCAATGCACACTATTGTGATTCGTTACCCATCCAAGTCATCTCAGCTTTGGCATGCTTCTCCTCCTGCATACTTTGTCCTAGAGCTGCCATTGTAATTTTATATCTGTAAAGCCCCTGTGCCAAATGATGGCTATGCCTTTTGGTGCCTGTAAAACTTATAGTTTATGAAATATTAATGTTACTGCACCATAGTTTAATATTTCAACTCAGTAGTTCAGTGTTTACAGTACTAATATGATTGTATTTTGATGTTTTACTATAATATTGTCTTAATACCGCTCTGTTGTTGTAATATAATGCATTTTTGTGTCAATAATTGTATTGGCAATGTGGCCTCTTTCTGCACACATACAAACCAACCCCTGCCACCATCTGCCACAGCTCCATTGGTCTAATGGTCTATGTCATGGACTTTCATGTGGAAGATCAGGGTTCAAAACCCAGCTAATGAAACTTTAACAAAAAAAATCTCTTCAAACTTCATATTGTCACACAGTTACCTTAATTACAAACACCTGCTGACGTGACAGCCACAAGCTGGTATAGAAAACACTTTTGAGCTTGGTCTAACTTCATTCTGCAAGTCCATTGCTGCAGGCAAAGACATGCTACATGGCAATGCACACTTGTTTTTACATCGTAAAAACCCATGTCTTGTTTATGTTTGTTTGTTTGTTTGTAGAGTTGGCCAAGCACATTATTTTGGTTTCCACCTCCACAAACGTAATACCCCTCTATGCAGCCGCCTCCATGTTTATGATTTAATCTACCATAGTCCTCTTTTGAAGTGAAAATAGGCAGATCTAGACTAGTGTTTGAAGAAAATATTACTTGGCATGGTATTTAGACATGGATGTTTTCTGTTAGAGGAGGCTCCTGTGTCGCCGGTTGGAGACACCCATAATAAAACCAAGAAGGGCTTAAGTCACCCACGACAACTCCATGACTATTTCAAGTGAACATTTGTTACACAAAATCTCTGTACTGCTTACAGAGATCTCAGGCAACAAGAGAGCAAAACTTCTGCAATTCAAGCAAGGAAATTGAGAAGCACAAACATTGTAAGCCTTCTATCTTCATGAATGTTGTTGGGCAGATGCCAGTAGTTGCAGCCTAGTAATATATTACTTATAGTGTTTGCCACAGAGAATTACTTGCCTCCATCTGACCCTATCTTTAGCCTTGTTCTCTACCACACCAACCCTCTAGCTCACCGCCCTGCATGTTTTAGATCAGGAGTGTCAAACTCATTTTCACCGAGGGCCACCTGAGCCCTCGAAAGGCCACTTGTGATGAACTTTGATGTTTCATGTTTAACTTTGACCAAACAGTGTTTTAACATGTCCTCTTTTAAACACTAAGAGCTAAGTGTACGACTGACTAAATCTGAGACAAATACAGAAATATTATTATCAGTGAGAAAACAAAGCTTTTCTCACTGATGAGTTTCTAGAGTAGCTAAATGGCAGATTTAGTTTATGGTTGATGCTGACTTTAAAGCAGCTTATTTTCAGACTGTTCTATCCAAATAAATAGCTCAGACCAACCTCCTCAGGCCAATTGTCATTATCTTTCACCTTTTAAGTTAATTTTGTTGCATTTTAAATTTAACTTTTATTGATATTAGAAACAAATTTCATGTTAAGTAAAAAAAAGTTGTTTTTTTGGGGGGGGGGTGTAACCCCCTGGCGGGCCACATGGGAGTCACCTGCAGGCCACATCTGGCCCGCGGGCCTTGAGTTTGACACATGCGTTTTAGATGTTTTCCTGCTTCAACACACTGGACTGAAATATTGAGTTGACAAGTTTCTACTAAACTTGATAATATTCTGAATATGTGTTTTAATTAAGTGAACCAGGTGTGCCGAAGCAGGGAAACGGCTAAAACACGCAGGACAGTGGCTCACGAGGAACAGGGTTGAAGACTTCTGCTCTAGTTCTTCCTGCTTCTCTGGCACACTTGTCTCCTTCTTACTCACACACATGTACACCTCATCTTCTCATTTTTCCACCTCTCCAGGCTCTCTTCCACCTGCTCCCTACGCTCACAGCAGACTACAATGTCATCCGCAAACATCAAAGTTCACAGAGACTCCTGCCTGACCTCAACTGTCGGAGTGTTCAGAGGTCCGGCTGACGCTGTGGTGAAGACGCAGGGTGCTCGTTCTGGTTTACACTTTCATAAGAAAATGGATAATTCTTAAATCTTAGAACTAATCCTCCTTTTTTCCTTACTGTTCTTAATCTTAAAACCTTGCCGTAAGTTTAATGTGCCTGTAAACATCTGGTTTATCAAGATCTAAACCTAAAGTTTATTATTCTTTCTGAGTTGTCATACTTACATAAATTATTACGGACGCCTACGTGATTTTGTGGATGTTTTAACTCATAAAGTTCTGATTATTCACATTAGTTTGTACATAAGTGGTTTACTTTATTCTGTAAATAAGTATCATTTATTTTAGAAAACGTACTGAGTTGGCAAATTGTTGTGTGTGCGTGTTTCTCACATTTACACGGAGAGGTATTTCATCTTCCCAGAGAAAGAACTCGTGATTCCTCATAACTTTAAGTTTTGAGAAGTGTAGAGATCATAGTTCTCTTACACTGTCAATCACCAATGCTTACAACCCTAATCCAATAAAACTGAGACATTGTGTAAAACATATAAAAACAGAATATTGTATATAAGATTTACAAATCCTATTCTTACTAACTTAATATTTTTATTGCAAAAAGTCACTCATTTTGATTTTGATGCCTGCAACAACCAAAATGAAAAAAAAAAACATTCCACAGGTGAACAGGTTAATTGGAAACAATTGAGTGTTATGATTGGGTATAATTATTGTACAAAAATTTTTAATATTTATATTCTGTAGAAGGGACTTTTTAATATTTTACACACTATTTTGAAAACAGGTGGGCCCATAACATATAGCCCTGGTTCCCTACAAAACTAGAATAGAATAGAATAGAATAGAATAGAATAGAATAGAATAGAATAGAATAGAATNATAGAATAGAATAGAATAGAATAGAATAGAATAGAATAGAATAGAATAGAATAGAATAGAATAGAACTTTAATGTCCACCATAGCGGAAATCTTTCTGAGTCAGTGTTCAGTTCTTTTAAATGTGTTTTAAGGGCTCTCCAGTCCCTCCCTTAGAAGTGTGTCAAATGCATTGAATTATACTGTACTGTTTGATGGGTCCAAAGGACAACATATTGAACCTTTACAACAAAGGATGGTAAAACACATCCTTTCTAGTGAGTCATTTTCACCCATCAGTCTTCCTTCCTCTTCACTCAAACACTTCTGCACAGAAAACCATTTTAGGCTCAGCTGACCACCAACCAAACAGGAACCTAACGTGCCTGTGGAGGAGCGGCACATCAACACGAGCGCGTTGAAAAAAAAAAAACACAAACTAAAATATCACTAAAAACTGAAAATAGTCATCATTTCCACTTTTAAATTGCCAACTAAACAGTTTAACCTCATGTGTGCTGAATTTATCAGCACTGCCGTCTTAACCCAGACTTAAAAAAGTGCAACATCAGCTTTAAAGAAAGGAAAAAAAAAAGATAAACCTTTAATTAACAGAAGCTTCGGTAAACAGAGCTGCTCAAACACATAATAACAGCACGTCGACTCAGAAGCTGCTTACTTCATTTCGTTGTGTCCACAGACCTTCTTGGACAAACTGAGCAGATCCTTGGCGTACTTCTCTTCAATTGAAGCCCTGAAAGAAATCATTATAACATATTGTAATACATAAACAACGAATAGCTAACAAAGCAAATGAACTGTCCTTTCCTTAATAGGTGAATGCTAAATGCTGCATCTGTAATGAACATTTACAAACAACTTGATCTTATCTATAGAAAAATGGACGTTTGCTGACATGGATGTTTTAAATTCAAATCTCAAAAGGTTGATAAGAAAAGACATTTGCATTGGCTAACAGAACAATGGAAGAAGTGTATGACTACCACAGACAAACTCAAAGCCAATTAAAAGCCATTTCATCTTTTATTATACAATGACGGCATTTGGTTCAAACAAAAACAACAATTCACATCATTATGAGATCCTTCTATGAATCTATGAAAATTGTAGATTCACACTGAATGAAGGCATCAAAACTATGAATTAACACGTGGAATTGTATACTTGACAAAAAAGTGTGAAACAACTGAAAATATGTCTTATATTCTAGGTTCTTCAAAGTAGCCACCTTTTGCTTTGATCACTGCTTCACACACTCTTGGCATTCTCTTGATGCATTTTGATGCCTTCAGTGTGAATCTACAATTTTCTTAGTCATGAAAAGAAAGAAAACTCTTTGAATGAGGTGTGTCCAAACTTTTGATCTTTACTGTACGTGTTGGAGATGACTCTCAGCTACTACCACACCAAATCTTATCTCTGTTTTTAAACTGGACTGAACTGAAGCCATTTGTGCTTTTACTACACTGTAAAAACTGTCATCTTACCAAGTTTTAAAATCTTATAACAGCCAAAAAGTCTTTTTGATCTTGTTTTGAGACTGATTTACTAAACAGGAACTGATTGTGTAAGAATAATCATCTTGTTTTCACAATGTGTAAGATTATTTGTCTTGTTAGTCTGAAAATTTGACTCAAATTTAGTCAAAAATTTCTGCTAAATGGAGTAAGAAAATTTTACTTGGTAAGATTCTTGAAATAAGAAAAATTTGAGTCAAATCAAGTATTTCAAGAATCTTACCAAGTAAAATTTTCTTACTCCATTGGCAGAAATTTTTTGACTTAATTTGAGTCAAATTTTCAGATTAACAAGACAAATAATCTTACACATTCTGAAAACAAGATGATTATTCTTACACAATCGGTTCTTGTTTAGTAAATCAGTCTCAACACAAATCAAAAAGACTTTTTGGCTGGATATAAGATTTTAAAACTTGGTAAGATGGACAGTTTTTGCAGTGTTAGATTGATCATGAACTGGATGAACTCTAAAAGTTATACGTCCAGCAAGTTTCATTACAATTTGTCCCGTGGTTCAACAGTTAATGCTGCAGTTTTTAACCAAGGACTTGTGTGACCTGCTGTTGCCCAGACTATGTGCTGGGGATGACTCTCAGCTACTACCACACCAAACTTTGGCTCAACGTCTGCAAAACTGTGGCCTGGTTAAAACCAGACCCTGTCCTTCACTTTGCTTCGTACAAGGGTCTGGACTTGATGCATGGAGAATCGATTTCTTGCAGGAGGCGTGGCCTCTGCTGAAGCATGTGTGTGTTGTCGGTGTGAAGGAGGCTAAGCTAAGAAGCTAACCGGAAATCGCGTGCGCTGTAAACAACCCTACTGAGAGGAGAAATATACCGAGCCGAACGAGACGACTGTAAATGAGAGCTGCTGTTTTGTCAGACATATTTAATTTTATTTGGAAGCCTTATCAACACGGACTGGCTTCATTCACTTCCTCCACTGCCTTATGCTAAAATAACTAGCAGACTGCGCAGAACACCGACGTCGTTCAAAACTCCACCTACTGTTCTCTGATTGGCCCAGGTAAAATAAACTACAAGCAGACACTGCGCAGAAAATTGACGTTCAAAACTCTGCCTTCTGTTTGCTGATTGGCCCAGGTAAAATAAACTACAAGCAGACACTGCGCAGAAAATTGACGTTCTGTTCTCTGATTGGTTCGGCTAAAAATCTGCCAGCGAAATCCTTGTTAATGGAAGAAGTCCCAGACGGAGCAGTGAAGGGAAACTAGAATTGAGCGGAGCTGCATAGGAAGGCAAGGGCCAGGCTAGCAAAACTGACAGTTACAAGCGTTTTTGCGTTAGCTAACGTCCATCAAACGTGGCGGTCATTTTGGATTAGGTTGATTTCAAAAGACAATCACTTGCAGATGTATTGATTTCGTCCTGTATGATTTATTACAGTCTGTCCCCTGGTTTAATAGATATTTGGTAACAGATAAATATACATGTAAACATGCACTTGTTATGCTGTCCTTTCAAGCATTGAGGTGATAATTACTCATTGGTGACTTCAGATGTGTTACTCAGACTGCGAGTTTAGATCAAGCAAATCAGGAAATACTTCAACTTATGTATCAGTGACTAATGTACAAGAAAAGTACACAAGTACAGAAACTAACAGTGATGTGTGTACTTCTGCATAAAATCACTGACTGTCTGCAAGGTTCAAATATTTTTTACCTCTTTTCACCATTTTTATGGCGTGAATTTCACTTTAAGACCATTTTTTTAACAGTAACATTTGTGGTTACGAGTTGTACTTCTTGTGATTTGCAAACCGCCATGCGTTACAAAATTCTTTCTATTAATAGTTTAAGGAACTTTTGGGTTTTTTGTTTCACAGCATTGTCCCGTGATATTTCCCAGGTTTATTAGTCTGTGCCTTGGTCCTGTCACAATGACCTGTTTCTCTCCTCAAGCATAACAGCATCATTTATGAATCATTGTGCTGCAAATTAAGCAAGAAGGAACTTAAAAATTCAAACACGGAACTTTCTATAATACCATCATAAATCAAAAGCCTTGTGCTCCTTGAAGGAATATCCCTCGCCACCTTAGATGCCAGAGTTTTTGATTCATTTTATGTTTTATGTTGAGTAGCAGTTTTGGTCAAACCGTCTAAACGTTATGTGCAACATCATGCAAGGAGATCTCATCCTCAGTTTTTGTGTTGTGAATAATCCCCAGCTATTACCACTTCAAATTTTAGCTCAATGTCTCTTAAGCTGACTGTGTTGGAGCAACTTTTGTGTTTGCTAAGGTTACTTTGCTGCAGTGGCCATATTCAATTGGACTGACTCTAAAAGTTAATCAGATGTAGATGTACATCCAGTGATTACGATCTGAAAGTTTTGGTGAAAGTCATCCAGTGGTACATGAGATATTTGGCTAACAGACAAGCAGGGTTGGCTCTAATAACTAAAGCTGGCTAAAGCTGACTGGAAATTGTGTTGTGAATGACTCTTAGTGACTACCACACCAAATTCTAGTTTGACTGAATTAAAGCCATTTTTGTGTTTTCTAAGGTCAGTTAGCTGCAGCAGTTGTCTTGAATTGGGTTGGCACCAAAGAATAATCACTTGCAGAAAAGTAAAGTAAATTAAAAAAAAAAAACTTGCAAAACCACTTTTTGCCTTTCTATAATGAGCGATACTGTTATAACTGATGCTAAAAAAAGAACTCAAGGTTATTTTTCAAACACATTTATAAAAAATTACCACTTAAGTCCTAACAAAAAAAATGCATTTAGACATTTGGGAAGCAGTTTGGTGTTTGTATTACTGTAAAAGATATGCATTTCCATCAAGGAAGTATTCACTTTCTCTTTAACTGCAAGCTAGCAAAAACAAAAAAAAGTATCCAGTTCTTCTAAGTAATAAACTTCTTGCTATTGTGGCATTACAAAGCCTATAGTTCGTCTTCCTCCATCTTTATAAGTTTCATTTTCACCTTCTCTTTTCCTCTCCACAAACTCGGGGTTTATGGTCAGTGAGCCCCACATCCCCATCATTACCTGGCTTTCATGAAGTCCTCCACCTCCTTGCATGTCCTTTTGCCGTCGTTGAGATACAGGATGATGGCATCATAGCCAGCAGTGGAGGTCAAATCAGAGTTCTGTCAGGAATGGATGAGAATTATTTGATTATTTTGTCTGTTTTTATTATCAGCAGTTATTACATAAAACCCATTATTACTGTTTTTTCTAATGTCCCTTTTTAAAAACTTTAATATTGTCTTAACTTAAATAAAACTAACATTTCTAGATTCACATGTAAAGTGCTAGAAGTAATACTAAATAAAAGAATAACCTGAACTTAAGGCAGTTAATTATACAATATTTCAGCTAGTTTAGCTTCAAAATAAAACTGTAAACAAAACTTACCCAGAAGAAATCTTTAAAATGTAGGTTTTTCATAACCGAATCAGAGAAGGCGGTGAAGCAGCAAGTTTTTAATGGCTTTGGATCAGCTCGCTGTGTCAAGTCTGTTGGTCAGAAGAGCCGCGCGACGCCAGAGTCAAAATGACGCATGCGCAGTAGCGATGGCGATGACAGCTGGAGCCCTTAATATTGACAAACAAAAGGTGTGGTTTTCTGCCCTCTGGTGGCTGAAAGCGGAACTCACAGGAAGCGTTGAACCTTGAATTCAGCCTGAACAGGTAATAAACTAATTAGTTTCTCCTCAGTAAATTAGAGAAATAAAATACAGGGAGGATTTTATTTTTTTCTCCTCTTGAATATGTGCATGTCGGTGCTGCCAATATATATTATTATACATACATACATGCATACATACATACAGTGTACATACATACATACATACATACATACATACATACATACATACA